CGTATTGATGGTAGAGGTAAGGAGGACTATCGCGTATAGAGAACAAGTTAGTAATGTGTCTAGCTGTAAAATGTAAGTAACGGTTCAATAATTTTACGACTTAATCTGGCTTAATCGAAAAATCTCCGATTTTTTTCTCGGATTTCGGTTGTTCTAGGTTAGAAGTTGAAATATCATTCATTTGTTGTCATAAGTAAGGATCTATTCAACGCGGCTCCCTTACGCATCCGACCCTCGCCATGTCGATAAAAACCGAAATAAAAAATTAATAAACAAATATTTTTTTATTTTTTAAATTTTCTTTTTTTGTGTAGATTATGAAAAAATATAACAAATTCATTCGATTATTTTTAAAAAGTTATCAATAATTATAATGACCGCAATAGTATAAAATTACCAAATTTTTAAAGGACTAATTATTTTTATACAAATAAAAATATTTTCAAACGTTTTTATGATTAATTCTATTTTTTTTTTCATCCAAAAACCCAGTTCCAATTTGTTTAATTGTCAATTGTTTTATCATTTTGATTTTACTGAACTTTTGTTCTCTGTGTTGTAGAAAATGTCTTGTAAAAAATTTTATAAATTTATATATAGAATTTTTATAAAATTTATATAATAAAGATTTAAATCAAAATAATTAATTTAAAATACTAAATTAAAATAATTAATTAATCTGCTGCGATTTTAGCACCACCTCAATTTAAGGTGAAGTGGCCGCCAAAAGCAGATTTTTTAAGCTTTAAAAGTGCAATTTTTGTCATTAAAAACTACGAATTCACATATTTTTTAAATTCATTATGAAAGTTAAAGTTTTCTTAGTGAAATATGGCGGCGAAAACACGATTGACACATTTTGGCTCGGTAGAAAAAGATCGCAATGTTTCCTCAAAATCTACAATTTTAGGTACGTCCACTAAGTGAAAAAGCAGTTTCATTTTTGAATGTAATTAAATCAATTTCAATTAAACTCAGGCCATGTTCGCAAGTAAATATTTGAGTGAATTACGGGTTTATCTTTCAATAAAAGAGTATATATCATTTTAAAAATAAATATCAAATAAATATTGTGCGATTAAATAGCACGCGGGCCGAACAAACAGTCCATATAAAGCGTGAAAAATAAGCTTTTGGCGCACACTTCAACTTAACGCAACACTTTATCACACAAAGGATAGTCCTCCTTATCTCTACCCTCCAAATACTCAGAGGTAACAATGCAACAGAATTTTCATTCTTAATCGAGAAGATATATATATATATATATATATATATATATATATATATATATATATATATATATATATATATATATATATATATTTTTTTTTATACTTTTAATAATGCTATTATATTCCTTGAATTTTTCTCGCAAATTCATAAACATCAGACCAGAAAAATAAACCACAACGATGCTTAGCATAACACGATCGAAAGTTGGTTGATAGAAGTTCAGGGCTTTATGGTTTTTAAGTCGGATCTGTACTTGTTAATCCGCCTCCCCAACATAGTGATTCGCTATCAAGTTTTCAACTAGCCTGAGTAAATTTTGACGTTGTAGGGCCACGCTGCCGCTAAACATAGTAACAGAACGAATAAGACGACTTGACCGAGGTAGGATTATGCTCTCACTGAATACTAGCGTAATAGAGCATAATAATACCAGTGTGAAATAGCATCTCACGCTAATATTCTGTAAGGGCTTGGTTTTTCCGCGGTTGAGTTATCCTATTCGTTCTACAACCGTAGTATAACTGCAGCGAATAAATACAATTAGTCTTTCGTTCTGCTCGTTTACGTTTTTAGTGCGTGTTTGCAGATTTAACATTATCTCAAAATATTTTATTCCTCAGATATGCAGGTTGTACTACTAGTACCTACAATATTTTCTATCACCGCTGAGTACGTTTTATTTAAATTTACCATTAATACATTGGGAATAGAGCTCAGCTCAACTTTCATATGATTATTATTAATAATAACATTAGGTTGTACTAACCAGGGCTCAGCAGTTGGACGTATTTAATCTGGAACTTAACTTTTTATGGAAAATGAAGGCATTAAATGTAAAACAAAGGAAAAAAAATCATTTTAGGTAATATTTTTATACGAACCAGAACAGATCATTCCAGAAGAAACAGTTGTTAACGAGTATTATTCCATAACGCTGATCCCTAGTATAACGATGGCATAGGGGACCTATTCAATAAAATTTCTGTAAAAATGTCATCTGTATTCACCGTGAATTTTTTCCATTATACTTGGAAATAGGTTATCTCTTTATTTTCCAGAATTTAAAAGCACAAGTTTTAACAACAAGCACGCTTGTTAATTATTACCGAGCTACTGGCCCCAACGGTTTATGAATAAGAAAAATTAGTAGTTTGGCGTGGCAAAAGAATTAAATTTTAACTTTTCTTTCACTTTATGTATGCAAGGAAATATTATTATATTAACATATTTCTATTGTGATGTAGTGTAGCAAACGACAACTTATATTAGTGTTTAGTTTAGAATAGATAATAAAAGTCTTAAACAGAGTAACAAGTCTATATTACGTCATTATACAATATAAATTAATCTTCAATATCAATATTGTAAAGTCGGCAATATTAAGGTATTTTTAAGAATAACAGGAAGGTTAAACGAATTGATAAAAAAATTGGTTAAACCAATAATTTAAGAAAAATAGAAGAAACTTAGGCTACGCAAGCCTTAGCCGATAAGATGATATAAAAAATTGAGCCGAAAAAGACAAAGAATACATTAAGAAGTACCATCACACCTGTGTGAGTTTTTTTTTATTAATTCGTTTAGAATTAATAAAAAAATTGGTTAAACCAATAATTTAAGAAAAATAGAAGAAACTTAGGCCACGCAAGCCTTAGCGGATAAGATGATATAAAAAATTGAGCCGAAAAAGACAAAGAATACATTAAGAAGTACCATCACACTTGTGTGATTTTTATTCTATTAAAAACTTCATTTGTTAAAGATTTTTTGTTTGCGGTTGGTTTGTAAGGCAATGACCACAAATCGTGATTTCTCTATTTGCGATGAAGTTTTTATAGACCAAGTATGTTTACGTGTTTTGGGTAGCAATGGATACTCATATAAGTCCCAGGAACGGAATGCCAATGAAATAGCTCTATCTTTCTTTAAATGTTTTAATAGGCTGATTCTTTCTCGATCTGATACTTTGATGTGTGGAACTCGCCAAACAATTTCATTTATTATAATATCTTCTACAACTTCACTTGTATTTAACTTGATCGCATTAAGATTTGTATTGCTTCGTAATAATACTAACTCATGTTTACATGATGTAATTACATTTTTTTCATAATCTTCTGCAAATCCTAATATCTTGTTCAATGGTATAGACACGGAAAACGCTCCACCGCTAGTATTGCTTTTTCTGCCAGTTGACCAGCCCCAAACTCGAGCACATTTGGATTCATTTTCATTTAAGGATAGGTAAGATTTTATTGTAGTAGTGACACCAGCATTCTTAATTTTATCTATTTCTACTCCATTAAGTTCATATCGGTTGTCTTGAAAAAGAAATAGCATAGGATTATTGACAAAATGTACGTTAGATACCTTTTCTTTTGTGGTGCTGTTGCAAACGTTCACCTTTCCCTCGATATATAAACTACCGAGTGAAGGTAGTACGTACAGGTCTTGCTGATTATTGGGAATACGTATTTCGTCATTCTTGTTAAAACTAGTTACATATGGTTTGTATGAATGATTCTCAAAACTTTCAATGATGTTATCGTATGATGTTTGTTGAGATACGTTTAAAATATTTATTTTATCAAGCCAACTAGCTTAAGAAATTCTTTGTTAGACTTGGTAAATTTCTTTTTTAGCTGAAGAGGTGTGCCTTTATGAGATGTTCTTTTAAAATTTGCTTCGATGCACGAAGTATTATGAAGTAAAGGCTTTTATTGAATTTTTTCAATATTTTTTTTGGAAATTTAAATACAGTTGTATTTCTTCACCTCGTAAATTTATCTCTTTATTCTCAGCGTTCAATAATTTTATATTGATAGCACTTATGTAACTTTTGTTAACAGAAAAATAAATCAGATTTCTAGGTATTTCAATTATTTGATGGCCAGGTGGTACATTACGTGCAAATTCATAAATTATATGGCTTGCTTTCGTGACAAATGAACCTGCATTCAATCCGCACGAAGGTTGTCGATAGAATACTGATAGGATACTTTGATTCAGTACTTATATTTGCTTTTATTGTTTCCATACCAAAGCCGAAAATTTTACCCAGTGATTCGCTTCTATTAAAGTGCACATCTTCAGAGCAAAAAATATTTGTTTTCAATGTATTATTGTTACAAGTTACTTTTAGTACAGTGTCCTTAATATTATTTTTTAGATAATCACAGATATCTTGAAGCTCGTAAGACCCTTCAGGAATTTCGATCATTTCTTTTTCACCATAATAAAAAAAATTATGGTGAAAAAGAAATGATCTTTCATCTATATTGGGAATAGAATTGAAAGTTGAAAAATACAAAAGGCCACATTCGTAGTCTCCTCGTAGTTCTATTGTCGGTGAATAGTTCGTTGATAAAGAGGCTCCTGTCCCAGTTATAGACACAGTGAAAGACATTTTTATACTGATATGTTTATTTACTTACACTATATAAATGCTTTTTCAAGTAATTCCTTAAAAATTTTAGACATAGATGTCCACAGTTTGTAGCACCAAACGCGTGATGTCGCACATAATTATAGTTAATAAGTAAGTTATGCATATATTTAACTAATTCTAACGGGGGCTTTATATTACCAAAACTATCACAATATTCTACGTATTTATTGTGTTTTACAAAGGCTATCCAATGCGTTCCAGGATTTCTGTAGCTATCCAAGTTCAGTATTCCACATTCTATCTTTCTCGGTTTGAATGTCACTTGCATGTTCTAATATGTCAAGGTTAGTGAGCGCCCGTCTGGGTAGCCGTCTAATTAGTTTTTTGAGGGGTTAAGATATAAACCGGCTCCTTGTTTATGAGGTTTAATGTATAATCTTTTTCCTAGAGCAACGGCTTCTATCATTCTGCTGTGTCTTTTAGATTCCTGAAGACTCTTTTGTGCTGCTTTTGAATCATTAACAGCTTTTGCTATACCCGCTGCTCCACCAGCTAATGATCCTAAAGCTGACAATCCCGCAAATATGGAAATAAGGGGTAAAAGTCGTCCACACTTTGGAAGAGGAATACAACGGGGTAAACTTATTCCTTTTTTATTACTAAATATTTTCTTAGCAGCTGCAAAGGCATATTTTATAGCCGAGTGACTGTCTTTGTCTTTGGATTTTAGTTTTTTCAACTGAGACTGTGGTTGAGCGGCGGGCCTATTCTCTGGTTGAGCCTTGACGTGGTTCCAACTGGTGCGCTAAGGGAACAGAGCGCACGAGGGCCGTGTGCTAGCTTATATTACTTCGGCCCTCCTATCAATGCGTCTCGGAGGGGCGCGCTCCTCATTGGTTGCAAATCACGCGACATTCTAGAATTATCTTCTTTCCCCTCTCACCTCACCACCCCGGTGTGTACGGAAAGGATAGTTGAAGGAAAGATCGAAGGAAGGACATCCTTGGCAAGCATACCCGCGAATAAAATAAAATACGAATGGTTTTCCGCGCAACCAGACTATATTTTTGATCTCCTTCTTAAATGCTTTTATACCGCTCCCCGCCCGGATTTTCACTTTCATAGCATTTTTGACTACCCATGAGGCAATTTTTTGTTCTTTCCTAGCATCTTCTGATTTCAACCTCCTCTTAGCCATTTTCAAAAGTTCTAAATCCGCTTTTTGTCGAGCGCCCGAATTTTTGTTAGTGTAAGCAATATTATGGAGCATGCACGCTTCATCCAATTTGTTTATCCCACGATCGCCTTTGAGTAACCATTTTTGAAGTTTCCTTCCGGGACCGCAAAATTGATAGCCAGATAAATGTAACTCAAACGGTAAATTGTCTATTACTTTATTAATTATACCACTGCCTTACTTCATCGATAAGTATAAAATGAGATTATTAAGTAATCATACGTTATTTATATACCCACACCACTCATTCACTTTTATCCATCCAACTATTTTCGTCATCACTCAAACCATACTACACATTTTAACTAAAAGCATATTTCCTTTTCTTTTATTGACATTTTCAATAAGATAAAGGTCTGGAAATTTTGTTTTTTGTAGTTCGTAACCGTAAAAAGAGCCTAGAATTTTTTGATTGTGTTTGTCTTCTATTTGATAGGTTTGAGGATTGGTTTGGTTGACTTTAACGATACGAAATATTTCTGTAGACCAATTAGGGGTATAACCTTTATAAAAATCTCCTTTGTATTTGCTTATACGAACGTAATCGCCAACGTGAAACGTTGGTCCTTGACGTATCTTAGGTTTTTGAGACTTCTTGATGTTTGACATAACTAAAATCGCATTTGAATCATTAACGTTGATAGGCTTGAATTTTGTAGTGCAATGTAAAGTATTATTATACTGCTTTACAACAAAATCTAAATTATTTTTGAACCATTGATATCGTCCGCATAGACTGAATATTTTGTAAAGCCGATTTTTTAAAGTTCTTATTACTCGTTCTACAATGGAGGCCTTTTTAACGGAGTACAAGAAATAATGATTTATATTTTAATTTTTCATTAAATTCTTAAAAGAATCATTATAAAACTCTGTACCAAGATCCGTTTGTAAATTTTTAGGTTTTCGTCTTGATTCAGATAATAAACATTGCATCGCATTTTTGACACAATTTTTATGTTTAGATTTCAATGGTCTAACCCTTACGTATTTTGATAGAGCATCGATTACTACTATAACATATTTATATCCTTTATTAAATGTTGAATATTTTTGAAAATCAATCAGGTCAGATTGCCATAAATCATCTATTCCTTTAATAATCGTTTGTTGACGAGAAAAATTTCGTCTTGCTGCTTTGTGAAGGTCATTGACTTGTTTACTCATTTTGGGTAGGTTTTGATGCCATCATGAGGTCGATTTCCTTTTTTAGTGTAATACAATGTCCTGAAATTGCTAGCAGTCAATTTTATAATGTCAAAACTGGTAAAGTCACATTTTTGACATTATTTTGAATTGTTTTCATTTAATTTTTAAGTTCTTGAACACATTTATCCACATATTCTTTATTCACAGCCTCATCGTCTTTTTCAGGAGTTTGCAGTCCTTTTAATATTGTTGATTTCAAATCAAAATAACCTGCGTCTGTTCTTACTAAAGCGTCGCTGAGAATATCAGATCATTGAGATGTACGTAAACGCTTATGAACATGAGGACCAAATTTGTCTATATTCATAGCCGTCTTATCGGCTTCTGTAATGAAATGGTACTGCGTAATCCTCCTGTAGGCAGCTTAATATATTTAATGTATTTTATGATGCCAGATTCACACAATTCTTCGATTATTGCATAAATTTCATTGTAAACCCCTGTCCAAGCTGCCCATGATACAAGTAGTAATTTTAATCGTTCCACTAACTCGTTTGGATCGTTCCAGTAAACAAAATCAGTATATTTTTTAACTTCTTTTAAAATATCAACTCCTTCTCCCTTTGGAAGATTTTCTACACTACTTTTATGATTTCTCGAGTGCTTAAACAATGGTTTGATCACTTGCATATATTTAAATCCTTTGTTACTGTTAATCGGTTTGGATGGATCATAACTACGTTTGTGTACATTAGTATCTAAAAGTAACAATTTATAATTTGTATGTCTTCCTCTGTTACAATATCTAAATTTGTTAGCTTTTTAAACAATAACTCTTTTAATCCTGGAGTTTTTTTTTTTTTTGTTTGCTTTTCAAACTATGATTTCATTTTTTTTTTTCTAAGCATATTAAACGGATCAACGATAGGTTTAAATATTGTTTCCAAAGCCAGATTGTTTGTATTTTTTGCACCTTTTATCATTTCTACCTTCCTTTTTACAGCTGACAGTAAAATTTGTTTCTTAAGGTCTCGTTCCATTGTAAAGGAATTGCACTCTGTTTGACTACTCAACAGAAACTGATTTCTTTGTGACATAGCAGCTATTTAAATGTTTAGTCTACTAGTATGAATGTATCAAACTTCATTCTGAAACAGCCTTTATTTCGTTCACAGTCTTTATTTATAACAACATAATTGAAAGGTTTACTCCACACAGTTGAACACATTTCCCGGAACTGAGACCATGTCATGTCAGACCCTACATGTTCGTCACAAACGTGTCTCAGATTTATTTCATCTTTTTTATACAATATGATCAGGTTAGCGTTATCTCTTACTAGTTGCTTAGGTATCTTTGTACGTTTGATTAATATAAAAACTGTCAATGTTCTTATGTCGACCCATGGCGAAATTGTTATTGCGTATGTTGTTCTGATTTTCACAAGCTACATCGTCAAATATTATGATTGAGTTAGGCGAACGAAGCTTCGTGGAGTCAAAATTTCACTATTATTATTATACTTGTAATAAGATGTACCTTCCACATCCTGCAGTACTTTTTCTAAAAATTTGTATTTATGTTGATATAAAGACCTTGAATATACATAAAGGTTGCGGAAACGTGGTCCATTCTGATGTAGCAATTAGCTGATAACTATATTAGTTTTTCCACAATTCGATAGACCGCATACAATACTACGTATCGTATTTGGCAACAAGCTCCCATGACGTTTAACCTCATTTTTTGGTGCAGGACAGATACATTCTAATTTAAGTGATTCTTTATGTTTGATAAATTTCATAACAGGTTTGTTAATTTGTCCGTATTAGCTGATAGGTTTTAATGAACTAACGTTATTTCTATCGTGTTAATAATTTAAAAACTTGAAAAAGATACTGAAGATTAACTTAACCATCAGCTTTAATTCAAAAGCATTCACTCACTCTTGCTTCGCGCTACGCGCCCATTGAAGAACATAATTCTCCAAATATGGGTTCAAAATTTTTAGTCTAACCAAATTAGTACCTATGTGCTTGCAAGTTTCTACAAATCAATTTATTTAAACAATCGTGGTGATCGCAAATGATCCAGCGGTTTGTACTATGAGTAAGCTAGAAAATCAAATGACTGGGGTTCAATTCCCATCCAGTATAAAAATTAGGGTGCATGAACACGTGAAAACATTTGTATATACTGTTGGAGGCCTTTTTTTTCTTCTTTTTTTTTTCAATGTGTAACTAGCGAGCGTTAGTGGTTCAGGCATTCTATTATGATTGAGTAACAAACAAACATAAAAAAAAACATCTAACATACAGACATTTATGTTTATATTATTATTTAATAAGATAAGCATGTAGTTACTTTCATAGCTTAATTTTTTTTATAGGATGGGGTTACAAACGAGCACACAGCCCACCTGATGGTAAGTGGTTTCTGCGGCCCCACAGACATCTACATCTATCCTCGATTACAAATCAAAATGCAGATGCTTTGTTACCTGTGAGGACTGAGATGAAATTCCTCGTTTCCAGTAAAAAGGTTATCCGGTTCTCTACACTCACCATACGAAACACAACAGCATTAAGCTACTATTTCACACTGGTATTCTGTGAGAGCGTGGTCCTTCCCCGGTCGAGCCAACCCATTCGTGCTACAACTATACTACTAATATAACTGCAGAATGGCTCTACCACGTATAAAAATATTATTTTGTATATTTATTATACAATAATATTATATATTAATTTATGAAAATGTAATGTATGTACATAAAACATAAATAGCTTTCATAAGAAAAAATATGTTCATTTTAAACACTAGGAACAAACATAAGCCTGTAATACCAGTTTTTAGACTTCTTAGAATTAGTAATTAATTTATGGGTTTCCAGACTGTATTCTATCTAGAGATATTACGAATAGTATAAAATTCAGTTTAAGATTTGAAAATTGTTAGTTTTATTCTTCAAAAAGCGTTAATTTTGAACAAAGATATATTTATAATGGATCTAAATTTAATAAGTACATTGACCGCTATATGCTGACCCATTCCATAATATTGTGAAATATACTCGTTTACCTATAAAACACTGTCGTCTCATGTTACATCGACAGACCGGCGCCAGGTGACGTACCGCTGCTATATCAGCAAACGTTAATTCGGCATCGTTTGCAACATTTATACAAAGTGATTTTCACATACGAGCATTTAAAGTTCTAATGTTAATAAGCAAAAATATTCCTTACGAATAACATTAATACAGATCAATGCTGAAATATTACCAAATGAATATTTATTTATTTTAAAATATGTCAAATTAAAATACTTCCAAGTGGCGATAGCGTTATAACTTAGGGTGTAAAATATGATGTCGGGAGGTGTTTACCCATTAGTTGCATCGTGTTTTCTAGACTTGGAAGTGTTCGACATCATCATCAAGACAGCAAGTACGTACGTAACACTTAGTCTCCTTATTCATTAAATACAATAGAATAATAATTAATATGTTATATTATGTTAGAGTAAAGTTACACTATGTTTCGCTTTATAAGTTTTCATATGAGTGTTCCTGTATAGTGATTAATTTGTATTACGTATATTATATATTAAATAATAATATATATATTAAATATTATTTAATATATATATATATATATATTATATATTATATATTATAATATATATATAATATACGTTTTTAGGTATTCCAATCCCCTCGAGTCAGACGCCGAAGTACAGTCGACTTCGCAAAAGAAGAAAGCGGTTTAGAAACCAGCTAATGTATAAAGGACTAAAACAACAGTTCCTAAGTCCAAGAAACGAGTTGAATCATTTGGAAACGAGTCAGAATCTGAGTCGTCAGAATATCGGACCAAAGACAATAATTAAAAAGCTGAAGGTACTCCGGATTAACTTTGAAATCGGGACGTCTGTCACCTCAGTACCCCGTGACCATGGGTGCTGGAAAGCACCCGAAACGTCGGGTATTAAAATTAATATAAATAAAACGCGATAAAATCTGTAAAAGTAGTTTTAATCAATGTATAGTGTTCGCGTAAATATAAGAAATCATTATGTAAACTAGTACGGACCGGAAATAGCAAATAAAATACGCCGATTAGAAGATCTAAAGACCAAGCGCGCAAGATACATAACAGCTTTAAATTTCTTGAAGAGATGCAGATATCATAATTTCATTCCTACGCGCTAAGATCTTAAATCAGGCGAGTACAAAGTTGTTAATAACGGTGATTCAGTAAAAATGTACCGATCTATTTATTTATTAGGTTCTCCAACAGTTATAACACAATACATTTGAATAAAAAATACAAGTTCCAACATGTCTTAAGCTAAGTGCATAACTACTTATAGGGGAAAACATCATGCGTTTAATAATGATAAGTTACCTCTATGTGAAAGAACAATCATTAAACCTATTTTAAGTTATTTTTTAATAAATTACAGAAGATATTTTTTGGTGACAAAGTCCCTGATCTGTTTACGAAAATGTTCAGAAGAATCAAAATTAAGATCTACCAATGTGCTGCATTCATTGTAAAGTCTACTCAATCTAGGAACAGGAGAGAAAGACCAAGTTTAGTCCTACGCATTGGTGGGTTCATAGGCTGAATAGGCTTTCTCGGAAGCCGAGAAGGTATTCTGAAGGAAAAGGAATTTAGCAAAGGAGGACAGTCTATCTTATAACAAAAAAGCTTGTATACAAACATCAAATCCGAAATGTCACTTCTTGCTTCAAGTGGTAATAACTTAAAAGTGAGAAGCCTACTTTTGTACGATTTAAAGGATCGAGCTTTATCTACAGAGAACGCTACGTACCATAGAAACCTTTTCTGAACCCTTTCCAAGCGTAACGTTGTGTTGCGAAATGGGGCCTCCAAACAACACTGCAGTATTCCATAATGCTACGCACAAAACTGTTATAAAGAATCATCTTGGTCTTAACGGTCTTGAAAATCTTTGTATTGCGTATAATGAAACCGAGCATTCCGGAAGTTTTTTTTATAATATGGTCGAAATGTGTTATAAATGTAAGCTTGTTATCTAGCGGCACGCCCAAATCACGAACACGAATTTATAATATTTTGTTTGCGTGTAAATTTTATATGTGTACACTTTTTCGCGTTGAGAACCATATTGTTTTCGTGAGACCACCTTATCAACTTATCTAAGTCTGCTTGCAGGAGATTCACATCATCCATGGAATCGATTTCACGCAAAAGTTTAAGGTCGTCAGCATATAAAAAAGACTTAACATTATTAAGATTAACAGAGACATCATTGACGAAGATGTTAAACAAAACAGGACCGAGGTGCGAGCCTTGTGACACTCCTTATGATATTTTATGGGTTTTAGATTAATAACCATTAACTACAACGAAAAAAAAATCTGTGAGTTAGGTAATAACTGAACCATTTCAATAAGAAACCATGCACACCAAAGGCTGAAAGCTTACAAAGAAGGAGGCAATAAGATACTTTATCAAACGCCTTGCTAAAATCCGTGTAAATAACATCAATCTGTTTGTTCTTGTCCATAGACTTAATCAGCTCTTCGGTGAAGCACACTAAGTTTATCGATGTCGATCTACCCCGCGTAAATCCGTGTTGTTGGTCTGTTAAATATTGTTTGAAATAATTTTGAATTAGGGGGAGTAATTAATGACTCCATGACTTTACCCATTTGAGGGAGGATTGAAATTGGTCGGTAGTTTCCTATTATATTTTCATTATTATAAATTGGCACAACCTTAGCCACCTTCCAGACTTCGGGGAAAACTCCAGACTTGAGAGAAAAATTAAATATGTAATGTAGCGGAGTGACTAAATTTGATGCACAATTAACCAAAAAAAATGGCTGGAATCTCGTCATATCCCGCTCCCTTCAACTTATCCAGCTTGGTCAAACTTTGGTAAATCAATTCTTCTGTCAGGTTAACCCATTAGTGGCCAAAATCAAACAAAAAACGTTTTTAACGAAAAATATTTGTTTTGTTAATCTGGTAGGGACTAGCAAACATAAAACGAAACAAAAAAAATTTCTATTGTTTTTTTATACTTTTTCAGGGGTGTACTTGTTTGAGTACAGCGGCCACTTATATGTGTAATTTTCCGAAGCATGACTTTTCAACGCAGAGTGTTTTCAAACACTTCTTGCATCCCTATCGGACCCTTGCATGGCAAATGACTTTTCAAGCTTCCTTGGGTAGTAGCCTGAACCATCTTAAGGCAGTCCTTTGACCAAAGAAGAATATGGTCTGGCTCTTTTTAGAGTTTCTTGGCGCAACTAGTATCTGGCAAGACTATGTCGAAGCAAGAGTTGATCCATCCATCCATCCTTGCTCATAACATTTAAACGCCAGACGTTTGAAACAGCCATGTCCAACAAGTATGTAAATAAAACTCACCACCACTTTTTGCCAGGAATCCCGATCCTGTATAATTATATGGACTGATCAAGCTCATCGAATCCACCAAACCTTTATTGTAGTTTTCAAATAAAGCGGAATCTTTACATCGGTTTTCTCTCTTATTTTTCTGGGCACCATCTTTTTACCGTGCTCATTGGTTCAAAGTAATCATAGTTAGTTGTATAAATACGCCCCATTGATTGAATTTGGTCATCAGTATGTCGGCTAGGGATCTAAGTTTGAACATTTTATCTCTGGAATTTGATGTTCATCGTTACTCACAAGATGAAGATATCTTTTTATTTCACGAAATTTATTCCTCGTCATAGCTCTTGAAACTAGCGCAACTCTGACGTCCTCATCCAGTCATAAATATAATGCTTCCCGAGGCAATTTGTGATATCCTGCCAAAAACAAAATACCAATGAACTTCTTTAGGTCTGGTAAATCAAGTTGAAAAGAGTGTCTATTGTTTTGATTAGCATACAAAATACTATTAGATAATATGAGCTGTAATACTTATTCATCCAGTAATTTTTCAAAAATCTGTACAGGATTTTGGTCTTTCAGCTGTTCCTTTATATCAATTTGTTTGTGTTGCACTTCAGATGTATGCCAGGCTGGAGTTTACTGCCACTGCTGAATGTTAGGCTTCCGACGAACTCGTTTTTGGCCAATGGTTCCTCGTCACTGAAATTATAGTAGGATGAAAAAGTACCTACTTTCATCGCTTATCATAACCTCAATATTTCCGGACACATCTCGTGACAACGTATATGTCACCATAGCTTCATCAGACCCTTCCTCTTCGTGAGTCACGACACTGGAATCAGGTGGTATTATCGCAAAATCATATTCACGGTCATCATCACTATCTGCTGTGGCTGCTGCAATTGCTTCCTCAAGTCCTATAAAGCTATTTATACCGAAAAACATCTTGCGACCCATTGTTGGTAAACTGAAACAAAGTTGTATTTTTTATCTGTTGAAGTAACCAGTGTACTCAACTGAGTACATTAGTAAAAATCTTCATCTAAAGTTAGTAATAAACAATAACTGTTTCAAATTTGTAACTCACGTTATAGACTACACTATATCTTATCACAATTATTACGAAAAACCACATTTACACAAATAATAATAATAATATATAATAAAAATACTACTCACTCCCCGCTAGTCCAATAACATGAAATCCGGTTGCTCCAAACGACAAATATTTTAGAAATACCCTCAATTTGCACGACTCAAATAAAATATGATTCTACCCTCTATTTCAATTAATAAAATAAAAACTAATAAACCCTCACAGATTTAGTCAATTAATTTTTCAATAACTGTACTCATTTGAGTACAGCGACAGAGAATGGGTTAATGGAACTGAAAAAATTATTGCAATATGTGGTCGGTTGTGACTGTTGATCAGATTGATTAGACTGTTCACTGTCTCTTTGTTCATCTGTGTTTCATAAAAAAACCATAGACAATTCTTCCAGTGAATTAAAGACAGTTTAATCGACATTTGATTATAAGAATTTCATGCAAAATAAACATATTGATAAATACCAAAAATTAACAACTAAATCAAATGTCCAACATAAGACCGAAACGACCACAGACTCGAATAGTAAACAAGGCGTGGTCTATAATCTGTCAAAACAAACTCTGGACGACGCCACATTAAAAGTTTTAGGAAGAGGTTTTAATTACGCAATTACACCGCGAAGAATCCCGTATGACGACATTATCTGTAGTGTTGAGGATTGTCTGTATAAAAATAATATTGGTAATGAAGATTTAGAGGCCATACGCCAAGACATTTCGTCTATGTTAGCGCCGAAATTAAATCTTCCCAAAAATGAATTTAATGCGTTAAAAACCTTATGCAACAGACCAGAGCTTACGATTCTCCGCGCAGATAAAGGAAATGCTACAGTTGTAACAGATACGTCGGATTACAATTTTAAAATAGAACAACTTTTGTCGGATTAAAGTACATACCGTAAGGTCAAAACAGACCCTAAAACTAATACGCTTAAAACAACTGGCGATCTAATTAAGAAATACTCCGAGAAATTGAATCTATAAGTCAATTCGATGATAACTTCGTGTGCAAAATCTCCCAAGTATTTTTTGTAATTTTGGTAAATTTAAATATAATAAATTAAAATTTTTTGTATTTTTAGTATTTTTGGTAACCCATACAGGTTACCAAAAATACACAAACCCAACGCTCCATTACGTCCAATAATGAGTCAAATCGATTCGCCAACGTACAGATTGGCTCAACACTTAGCCAAAATATTATCACCACTCAGAGGACATAGAGCACATACTAAGAATTTATACCATTTTGTCAGTGAGATAAAAGACCTACGTCTTGCTGACAATGAAACCATGGTCAGTTTTGATGTTCAGTCTCTATTTACATGCCTACCTGTTGAAGACTGCATCTCAATTATAACTAGGAAACTAGCGGAAAATAACATGCCAGCAGAATATACAGTATTACTAAGACATTGCCTTACATCTGGCTATCTATTGTGGAAGGAAGAGTTTTACAAGCAAGTAGATGGTGTTGCGATGGGCTCACCTGTATCTCCCATTGTCGCCGATATATTCATGGAAGACTTTGAGGAGAAAGCCCTCCTTACTGCACCTGTTACCCCAAGGTTCCACAGGCGGTACGTAGACGATACTTTCACAATTTTACCATCAGACAAAGTAGCTGCATTTTTAGAACATCTTAATTCCATAAACCCTAAAATTAAATTTACTATGGCGTTAGAGGCAAATAATTCCTTAGCTTTCCTAGATGTGTTAGTCATCCGAAATCCTAACAACACCATAGGTCATACTGTGTATAGAAAAAAAGACCCATACAAACCAATACTTAAATGGTGAATCTCACCATCATCCTTCACAGTTAGCTACCGTGGCCAAATCTTTGTTTCAGAGAGCACGAGGGATCTGTGACAGCAAACACCTGGCCGCCGAGCTTCAGCACTTCAAGCAGGTTCTGCACGACAACAAGCTTCGGGTCTCGCGCCTCCGTCACAGTGACGAGTGAAGCCGGCCAAAGTCGAGCGTATGCCTGCTATACTACCATATGTCAGAGGTGTCACAGACAAGATTGGCTACATCTTGAAGCGAGCGTCTATTAGAACATTCTACAAGCCGCTGAAGAAGATTAGTCAGTTCTTACCATCCGTCAAATGTTATATTCCTCTACAAGATGCAGGAGTGTACAAACTTGATTGTGATTGTGGTCTGTCATATATAGGGCAAACAAAGATATCAATTAGAACCCGCGTAAAAGAACACATAGCTGACGTGAAGCATCAACGTTCCGGGAAGTCTGCAGTTTGCAATCATATTCTAGATGGCCCCAACCATTACATCCAATTTGATAGACCACAAATCCTCGCGAAAGAACATCGATTCCTACCAAGGATGATATGTGAGGCTATTGAAATTAAAAAACATCCTAATTTCAATAGAAGGACGAGGAAGGAGGCTGGGTACTACCACCTGCTTGGGATCCTATAATAAGTAAAATTAAAACTAAACCCAAGCATACCACTGCAAGACTTCAAAATACAGTTAGTTTATTCTGCGTAGATAGGACCAAAGACAATAATTACAAAGTTGAAGGTACTCCGGGTTAACTTTGACATCGGGACGTCAGTCATCTCAGTCCCTTGTGACCATGGGTGCTTGAAAGCACCAAGGTGACCCCTGTCACGCTATCCGTGAAATATACTTTTTTTTATTTAGAAAAGTATATTTTTAATTCCATGGAAATTTATTTTTTAGTCCAACTAGTTTTTTTCAGTATTAAGTTATTTTTTATAATAAACATGTTTTACACTACATACGTTGTATATTTTATCGATGCTTACATGCTCACTAGAGAATCTATCAAGAAGACTTAAATGATCTACAGACGCCTCCTATGTGCTTCATCTTTTTTTGAATTGACAAATTGTTGAAATTTTTTTAAAACAGAAGGATATACTTTCGCATTCAAATCGCATATTGCTCTTATAGTTGTTGTATTGTATCTCGATTTTCAGGGACTTTTAAAAAAAAGTGGCAACACTTCTCTGACTCACACAAAGTTATAAAATTGGTTACAGTTTCTTGTTCTAGGTGCGATATCTACCTTTTTTACTTCATCTGAGTATAAAAGAAAATTGTTGAGTAATTGAGCGAGTTTATGAATAAGAAAATTTCTTAATCATGGAGGGTGTTCGTGTATAGATTGCTTGTATTGGGGAGCTGTTGGAGACGCATACTTAAGGTCGTACATATATACGGGGTAGTCGGGTGACCGACTACTTATGTACTGTTGCACAATGTTTAGTCCTATATTACGGACTTATAGTAAGGTATATGATACAAAAGCAATACTATAGAAGGTCTCGATGATGAAAAAGAATTACAATGGTCGAGTTGGTTGAAGGCCCATAGATGACAATAACAGAAGATGACGATCATGACGATGACGATGACACAATGAAGATGACGATTAAAATGACGGCGACGATGAAGATGATGATAACGATGGCATGATGAAGATGATCATCACAATGTCGACGATGATGATGATGATGACGATGATGATGACAATGACAATGAAGATGCATATGACGATGACGATGATGATGACGATGACGATGATCATGACAATGACGATGATGATGACAATGACGATGACGATGATGATGACTATGATCATGAAAATGATGATGACGCTGACGACAATGATGACGATGACGATGACGATGACGATGATCATGACAATGACGATGACGATGATGATGATAATGACGATGATGATGACAATGACGGTGATGATGACGATGACTATGACGATGACGATGACGATGACGATGACGATGACGATGACGATGACGATGATGACAATGATCTTGACAATGACAATGACGATGATGATTACGATGACGATAATGATGACAATTACTGTGGCAATGACGATGATGATGACTTTGACGATGACGATGATGATGTCTTTTATGATGACGGTGACTATGGCAATAAAGATGATGGCGACGATGATGATGACGATGGAGATCATGATCATCATGTCAATCAAGACGACAATGACGATGACGATGACGATGACGATGATTATGACAATGACGATGATGAAAATGACGATGACGATGACGATGATTATGACAATGACGATGATGATGACAATGACGATGACGATGACGATGATGATGATCATGAAAATCAAGACGACGATGACGATGACGATGACGATGATTATGACAATGACGATGATGACAATGACGATGACGATGACGATGATTATGACAAGACGATGATGACAATGACGATGACGATGATGATGACGATGATGATGACAATGATCATGACAATGAAAATGATGATGATGATGACGATGATGATTACGATGACGATAATGATGACGATTACTGTGGCAATGACGATGATGATGACTATGATGATGACGATGATGATGACGATGACGATGACGATGACGATGACGATGACGATGACGATGATCATGACAATGACGATGACGATGATGATGATGATGACGATGATGATGACAATGAAGATGATGACGATGAAGATGACGATGATCATGATCATGACAATCAAGACGACGATGACGATGACGATGACGATGATTATGACAATGACGATTATGATGACAATGACGATGACGATGATGATGACGATGATTATGACGATGATGATGACGATGACGATGACGATGATCATGACAATGACGATGATGATGATGATGATGATGACGATGATGATGACAATGAAGATGACGATGAAGATGAAGATGACGATGATCATGATCATGACAATCAAGACGACGATGACGATGACGATGACGATGATTATGACAATGACGATTATGATGACAATGATCATGACGATGATGATGACGATGATTATGACGATGATGATGACGATGACGATGACGATGATCATGACAATGACGATGACGACGATGATGGTGACAATGAAGATGATGATGACGATGACGATGACGATGACGATGATCATGATCATGACAATAAGACGACGATGACGATGACGATGACGATAACGATGACGATGATTATGACAATGACGATGATGAAAATGACGATGACGATGACGATGATTATGACGATGACGATGATGATGACAATGACGATGACGATGACGATAATGATGATCATGAAAATCAAGACGACGATGACGATGACGATGACGATGATTATGACAATGACGATGATGACAATGACAATAACGATGACGATGATGATGACAATGACGATGATGACAATGACGATGACGATGATGATGACGATGATGATGACAATGACGATGACGATGATGATGACGATGATGATGACAATGATCATGACAATGAAAATGACGATGATGATGACGATGATGATTACGATGACGATAATGATGACGATTACTGTGGCAATGACGATGATGATGACTTTGACGATGACGATGATGATGACGATGATGATGACGATGAAGATGATGACGATGAAGATGACGATGATCATGATCATGACAATCAAGACGACGATGACGATGACGATGACGATGACGATGATTATGACACTGACGATTATGATGACGATGACGATGACGATGATGATGACGATGATGATGACGATGACGATGACGATGATGATGACGATGATGATGACAATGATCATGACGATGAAAATGATGATGATGATGACGATGATGATGACGATGACTGTGGCAATGACGATGATGATGACTTTGACGATGACGATGATGATGACGATGACGATGACGATGACGATGACGATGACGATGATGCGATGTCATGACAATGACGATGACGATGATGATGATGATGACGATGATGATGACGATGACGATGATTATGACGATGACGATGATGACGATGACGATGACGATGATGATGACGATGATGATGACGATGACGATGACGATGACGATGATTGTGACAATGACGATGATGACAATGACGATGACGATGATGATGACGATGATGATGACGATGATCATGACAATGAAAATGACGATGATGATGACGATGATGATGACGATGATCATGACAATGAAAATGATGATGATGATGACGATGATGATGACGATTACTGTGGCAATGACGATGATGATGACTTTGACGATGACGATGATGATGACGATGACGATGACGATGACGATGACGATGACGATGATCATGACAATGACGATGACGATGATGATGATGATGACGATGATGATGACAATGAAGATTATGACGATGAAGATGACGATGATCATGATCATGACAATCAAGACGACGATGACAATGACGATGACGATGATTATGACAATGACGATTATGATGACAATGACGATGACGATGATGATGACGATGATTATGACGATGATAATGCCGATGACGATGACGATGATCATGACAATGACGATGACGACGATGATGGTGACAATGAAGATGATGATGACGATGACGATGACGATGACGATGATCATGATCATGACAATCAAGACGACGATGACGATGACGATGACGATAACGATGACGATGATTATGACAATGACGATGATGATGACAATGACGATGATGATGACGATGATGATGACAATGATCATGACAATGATCATGACAATGAAAATGACGATGATGGTGACGATGATGATTACGATGACGATAATGATGACGATTACTGTGGCAATGACGATGATGATGACTTTGACGATGACGATGATGATGACGATGATGATGACGATGATCATGATCATGACAATCAAGACGACGATGACGATGACGATGATGATGACGATGATTATGACAATGACGATTATGATGACAATGACGATGACGATGATGATGACGATGATTATGACGATGATGATGACGATGACGATGACGATGATCATGACAATGACGATGACGACGATGATGATGACAATGAAGATGATGATGACAATGAAGATGATGATGACAATGAAGATGATGATGACGATGACGATGACGATGACGATTAAGATGATCATGATCATGACAATCAAGACAACGATGACGATGACGATGACGATAACGATGACGATGATTATGACAATGACGATGATGATGACAATGACGATGACGATGATAATGATCATGACAATCAAGACGACGATGACGATGACGACGAAGATGACGATGACGATGACGATGATTATGACAATGACGATGATAACAATGACGATGACGATGATTATGACAATGACGATGATGACAATGACGATGACGATGATGATGACGATGATGATGACAATGATCATGACAATGAAAATGATGATGATGATGACGATGATGATTACGATGACGATAATGATGACGATTACTGTGGCAATGACGATGATTATGACTTTGACGATGACGATGATGTTGACGATGACGATGACGATGACGATGATCATGAAAATTAAGATGACGATGATGATGATGGTGACGATGATGATGAGCAATGAAGATGATGATGACGATGAAGATGACGATGAAGATGATTATGACAATGACGATTATGATGACAATGATCATGACGATGATGATGACGATGATTATGACGATGATGATGACGATGACGATGACGATGATCATGACAATGACGATGACGATAATGATGATGATGACGATGATGATGACAATGAAGATGATGATGATGATGACAATGACGATGACGATGATCACGATCATGACAATCAAGACGACGATGACGATGACGATGACGATAACGATGACGATGATTATGACAATGACGATGATGATGACAAAGACGATGACGATGATGATGACGATCATGATGACAATGATCTTGAAAATGACAATGACGATGATGATGATGATGATGATGATTACGATGACAATAATGATGACCATTACTGTGGCAATGACGATGATGATGACTTTGACGATGACGACGATGACTTTTATGATGACGGTGACTATGGCAGTAACGATGATGGTGATGATGATGATGACGATGGCGATGATGGTGACGATGGTGATGATGATGACGATGATGATGACGATGACGCTGACGATGATGATGATCATGACAATCAAGACGACGATGACGATGACGATGATTATGACAATGACGATGATGGTGACAATGACGATGACGATGATGATAACGATGATGATGACAATGATCATGACAATGACAATGACGATGATGATGACGATGATGATTACGATGACGATAATGATGACGATTACTGTGGCAATGACGATGATGATGACTTTGACGACGACGATGATGATGACTTTTATGATGACGGTGACTATGGCAATAACGATGATGGTGATAATGATGATGACTATGAGTTCAATAATAGTTTTATAATATTATCCTACGTGTGTTATCAGTTTTATCTTGGGATAGAGAGATCTTATAAGATAAAGTGGAGCTTTGTCTATTAAAAATATGTTTACTTAACAGTAAAAGTCTCCGGTTTAGAGTTTACCATATAAACACGCCACCATTATCTTGTCTATCGAGCCGATCCGACATTGAATAGCTATAATACAGCTGTGAATTGGCTCTACCACATACGAGTTTTATTTTGAAAATTAATGAAGTATCTTCAGCAAATAATACTATATCACGGTTGTCCCCTACTATGTAAGGTAAGTTATAAATATTCAAGAAACAGAAAGGGGCCGAGAATTGAGCCCTGAGGCACGCCCATTTGTACAATCAACTCGGAAAAACTCATACTATTAATGACAACTTTTTTGCGTCCTGTCACTTAAATATGAAATAATTATTTTAAGAGAATCGCTTCTTACACCGTAGTGTGAAATTTTGCTGATTAATGTTTCATGATGAACACAAACGAAGGCTTTGCATAGGTCACAGATTACACCCAAAGCATCCTGTGAATTCTTCTATGCATTAAATATATATACACACCGGCACAATTAGCGGAACAGAAAAAAAAGTGAGACTATGAGATAATAACGCATATATTTGACGAAAATGTTACTTACACGTTATAGACACAAAATAACAATATGATTAACATCTTTTAACAACGACTTTGAAAAGACTTCGTTATTTTTTATTGAAAAATAAAGAAATTGGAAATAAGTGAAATTTTAAGATGATTATGAACCATCACAAAAAATAAAAAAAAGTAAGCATTAAATGATTTAACAATAAAATTAAAGCAAAATTAATAACGAGTGTTTCCCCCTCTTGCTCTGATTACGGTTTCCATTCGTCTGGGCATGCTACAGATTATGTTATCGATGACTTCTTGAGGCAACTGCTCCCACTCCTCAAGTAATGCGTTTCCAAGTTCATTCAGATTGACAGATTGATCCCTTCTTTTTAGCAAGTCCCAGAAATGCTCTATCTGATTCATATCGGGGGGAATTTGCTGGCCACTGCATTACCGGTATACCTACGTAGCTCAGACATGCCTGTACCGATTGTTCCCTAAGAGCACGAGCATTATCTTGCATTAGAATAAAGTCGTCACCAATAAATGGGGCAAATGGTACAACATGTTCTTCTAAAATGTCTCTGATGTATCGATCTGCTGTCATGGTCCCTCCTGTGACTATCATTAACTCCGTGCGAGCTCCCAAACATAACCCTCCCCAAACCATAATCGAGCCGCCACCATAAGCCACTGTGTGTTCAAAATTAGACTGTATGTGGCGTTCTCCTTTGCGTCTCCATATTCGCTGTCTCCCATCGATCTGTTTTAAAAGAACTCTGCACTCATCAGTAAAGAGAACCTGCTGCCATTCGTTCAAATCCCAATGACGATGTTCTCTCGCATAGCTTAATCGGTTTACGCGGTGACGTCTCTCAAGTTTTGGGCCTTTGGCAGGTATATATGTCCCTAAACCAACTTCTTCAAATCTCCAGCGAACTGTACGCTCACTTACTCGTACTCCTCGAACGTCTTCCAGTTCATTTCGAGCTTGTACAGCCGTTAATCGCGTATGCTTACGAACTCCAAGTTGTAAAAAACTGTCATCTAGCCTCGATTTAAATTTTTTTCTACCTTGACCCCTCCTCCTCACAAGAGAATTAGATGATCTGTACCGCTGGATGCTGCGATGAATCGTTGATACTGGTCGACGAAGCCTTGAGGCAATCGATCTGTAGGTATGGCCATTTCTTCTCATTTCATCAGCCCTAATGATTTCCAGTGATGTTAAGTCAGGCATAATAAAGAGCTTTTAATAAACAAAATTGCCTATAGAATAACAAATTTATATAAAACCATAGTGCAATTTTTCAAAAAAAATTACAATTACGTAGTTACTACTCGAACAAGTTGACAAAACGTATTGTTCGGTAAAATAAAACAAATGAATGAAAAAAGTCTATGTCATCTAATTTTCTATTTTCAAATTTGACAATAAATTAAAAAAATATCATAACTGGCCAGTTCCTCAAGTAAAAGATTTTAAAATCCTGCTTTTTTTTGTGTTCCGCTAATTGTGCCGGTGTGTATATATTTAATCAGCTCAACACCAGCATCAGTTGTCGAGCGACCCCTTGTGAAACCAAATTGATTTTTATGAATTAAATTATGTATTTACATAAAAAAAATTTTACATTTGCTCAAAAATAATTTTTTCAAAAATTTTACTAAGTGTTGGCAGTACATAAATAAGTCTAAAATTAGCGGGGTCCAATGTACTACTTGCAGTAATGACTTACGGATTTAAGACGTGGTCCTTCACTGCTGGCCGTATGAGGACGCTCAAGGTCGCTCAGCGAGCTATGGAGAGGCTATGTTCGGAGTTTCTCTGCATGATAGACTCAGAAATGAGGATATCCGCAGTAAAACCACAGTGACCGACATAGCCCAACGGATTAGTAAGCTGAAGTGGCAATGCGCCGGCCATATTGCTCGTAGAACCGATAACCGATGGGGAAGAAAGGTTCTCGAGTGGCAGCCTCGTACCGGTAGGCGTAGTGTAGGGCGACCCTCTACTAGAATGAGTGACGACCTGGTAAGATATGCAGGAAGTCGATGGATGCAGGTGGCTCAGGACCGTGCTTTGTGGCATTACTTGGGGGAGGCCTATGTTCAGCAGTGGACTTGTGAAGGGCTGTAATGATGATGATGATGACGAATGTACTACCAGATTTAAATAAAGGTATTACTTTACTATGCTTCATTAAATCAGGAAACACACCAGATTCAATACTAGTATTAAAAATAATAGATAGTTGAGGTGCGATCGCATCAATTATAGACGCAATAACTTTAATAGAAATCCCCCACAGATCGGCGGTTCTCTTAATATCAATAGTCTTAAAATATTTTACAATATCTTTTGATGACATTTTATGAAATGTAAAATTCTTTGTACACACCATCATCGTTATTGCCATAGTCACCGTCATCATAAAAGTCATCATAATCGTCATCGTCAAAGTCATCATCATCGTCATAGCCACAGTAATCGTCATCATTATCGCCATCGTAATCATTATAGTCACCATCATCGTCATCGTCATTGTCATCATCATCGTCATCGTCATCGTCATCGTCATCGTCGTCTTGATTGTCATGATCATGATCATCGTCATCGTCATCGTCATCGTCATCGTCAGCATCAAAATCGTCGTCATCGTAACCATCATCGTTATCATCATCGTCATCGTCACCGTCATTGTCATGATCATCGCCATCGCCATCATTATCATCATCATCATCGTCATCGTCATCGTCATCGTCATTGTAACGATCATCGTCATCGTCATCGTCATCATCATTAACATCGTCATCATCATCGTCATCTACATCGTCATCGTGATCTTCATCGTCGTTGTCATCATCATCATCATTGCCACAGTCATCGTCATCGTCATCGTCATCGTCATCGTCATCGTAATCGTCATCATCATCGTCGTCATCATCGCCATCGTCATCGTTATTGTCATGTTCATCGTCATAATCATCGTCATCTTCATTTTAATGATCATCGTTATCATCATCGTCATCGTCATTGTCATCATCATCGTCATTGTCATGATCATCGTCATCGTCATCATCATCATCGTCATCGCCATATTCATCTTCATTGTCATGATCATCGTCATCGTCATCGTCATTGTCATTGTCATTTTCATCATCATCGTCATCATCATCATCATCGTCATCGTCATTGTGATGATCATCTTCATCATGCCATCGTTATCATCATCTTCATCGTCATCGTCATTTTCATTGTCATGATCAACGTCATCGCCATTGTGTCATCGTCATCGTCATGATCATCGTCATCGTCATGGTTATTGTCATCTATAGGACTTCAACCAACAACTCGACCATTGTAATGCTTTTTCATCATCGAGACCTTCTTTTTTTCTTCTTCTTTCTTCTTTCTTCTTTCTTCTATATTGCTTTTGTATCATATACCTTACTATAAGTCCGTAATATAGGACTAAACATTGTGCAACAGTACTATAAGTAGTCGGTCACCCGACTACCCCGTATATATGTACGACCTTAAGTATGCGTCTCCAACAGCTCCCCTATACAAGCAATCTATACACGAACACCCTCCATGACTTAAGAAATTTTCTTATTCATGAACTCGCACAATTACTCAGCAATTTTCTTTTATATTCAGATGAAGTAAAAAAGATAGATATCGCACCTAGAACAAGAAACTGTAAACAATTTTATAACTTTGTGTGAGTCAGAGAAGTGTTGCCACATTTTTTTTAAAAGTCCCTGAAAATCGAGATAAAATACTACAACAATAAGAGCAATATGCGATGCGAATGCGAAAGTATATCCATCTGTTTTAATAAATTTCAACAATTTGACAAATCAAAAAAGATGAAGCACGTATGAGGCGTCTGTAGATCATATAATTCTTCTTGATAGATTCTCTAGTGAGCATGTAAGCATCGATAAAATACACAACATATGTAGTGTAAAACAGGTTTATTATAAAAAATAACTTAATACTGAAAAAAACTAGTTGGACTAAAAAACAAATTTCCATGGAATTAAAAATATACTTTTCTAAATGAAAAAAAGTATATTTCACGGATAGCGTGACAGGGGTCACCTTGGTCTTATTACTCCGCTTGCCCCTAGCAGTTTTAGTCACGAGCAGAATTCCTCTCCCCCTCCCCCCAGAATATGCGTAACAGCCTAATCACCAACGCTCAGAAAGAGTAAATTAGCTTGGTCGTGGATGCTCAGCGAGGGATTCTCTGTCACCAGGAGCGAGGTTATCCTCTTCGGGTAGTTTTTATTTGATTCCACTACGATGTTAAAGGGGAGGGGGAATCGGGCCTCCAGCCCAAGCGAAACACTGAGGTAAATCTCTACTTCACGAAGGTATTCTGTGAGGTCGTGGTACCCCGGTTCTAGCTGGCCCATCCATGCGACAACAATAGCCGCCGCATGGCTCTACCACTGTCAAGTCAAGAGGATGGCTGCCATTTTGCTTCATTTCAGCTAAGTCTTATAGCAGCTACCCTTAATTTTTATAGGATAGGGTGACAAATGAGCATACAGTCCACCTGGTAGTAAGTGGTTGCTGTGGCCCATAGACATCTACATGTATCCTCGATTACAAATCAAAATGCAGATGCGTTGTCACCCGTGAGGACTAAGATCCGGTTCCGGTTCTCTACACTCATCATACGAAACCGCAGCATTAAGCTACTATTTTACGCTGGTATTCTGTGAGAGCGTGGTCCTTCCCCGGGCGAGCCGACCCATTCGTGCTATAACTATACTACTAATAGTATGACTGCAGCATGGCAAAAAAAATCATGTCTTATTACAATATTCATTGGTAGCCTAAAATCATAAATATTTTTTTACAGTAAAATAGTTTGTAAATACTCAACAATTAAAATAGAAACATCAGCAACATAAAAATTTAAATGTTTATCTTGACTTCAATTTGATGTAACATAATAAAAAACTAATTTAAAAAAGCTAACTACATATATTTTTATAACTTAGCCTAAAATTAATTACCCAAATTTTGGACCATTAGAAATATGAAATACTGGCAACATTCTCCTGTTACGTAATCTCGAAACATCGACATTCGTGCTTCAAATAATCTTCAAAATTGTGTTGGAATAACAAATTAAAATAAAGTTAAATGAGTGAAACGATATTGCTTCAGACTTCTTATTCACTTTAGTATTGTTTTTGCACCATTTAACTACACAGGACGACGTTTTGTGGGCAAATTTAATGCACGACGCCCCGGGAAGTACTGAGCAAAAATGAGCATAGTTTGATGCATGTGTGTGCGTGAACGCGTGTTTATACATAAAGGAGTGAAGTCTTTTGGCTTCACCAATAACAAAGGCCGCGCTGTATCTATTTTTTTTCTTCATCTGAGCTTTTATACACAAACTCCTTCCATGACTTAGGCAACTTTCGTCCAATTTTCCAATTATTTTATAAATGTTATAAATTTTTATTTTTATAATATTTTCGACTTGTATTTCTATTTGTCACAATTTGAATATTTTAATAACGTTTTTAATAAATTTATTTATTTTGCACCATTTAACTACACAGGACGACGTTTTGTGGGCAAATTTACTGCACGATGCCCCGGGAAGTACTGAGCAAAAATGAGCATAGTTTGATGCATGTGCTTCTCTGAACCCTCTCAATACCTTATTGGAGGGCTCTGGGTGGAGATTTCAGTTTCTACTAAAAGAAGGTAAAAAAGTGACTCACCTTTTCTATATGGATGATCTCAAATTATTCGCCTCCAATCACTCCAATGCTATTGATTTGCCAAAAATTCTATTAGAATGAAGCTTGGGACGGATAAGTATACGGTTCTCCATGTTGAGATTTGTAGGGTAGTTAATACTTAGAGCATAAACTTTCTATGCCCATCAACATAAGGACCCTTTCCGAGGCTGAAATTACCGATAACTGGGTATGTCACAAAATATAGGTGTTGATGAGGTATTGCGGATATAAAATGAGCGATCTTTTTTATGTATGTTTGACCAAAGAGCTTAACTGCATTTTATCGGGCGTAAATAAGATACAGGCATATAACGGTTGGCTCTCGCCTCTCCTTATATATACCTTTATCATACTCAGATGGACTCAGACTGAACTGAAAGCTCTGGATATAAAAGCCCGCACTATTATGACGTCCCATAGGTTGCACCATCCGAGATCGTCGGTAATGGGGCTGTACTTGCTACGGAAGCATGGTGGGCGAGATTTTTGAAGCGCGTTTACCAAGCATAATCGCAAAATATGCAGCCTCAGAATTACTACGGACGTGATCACGTTATCCATTCTATACGGACGGTAATTCCTGTGGCAATGGCAAGACTCAGCAGTACAAATCATTTCCGACGAGGGGACGGAGAAGGAGCTCCATGGGAGGTTCTACAAGGCTCTACATGAGCCTTTCGTAGATACGGTTACCTGTCTTCCCTGGCTCCGCTTCGGTGACCTCTATGGGAAACCGAGGGTTTTGTCTGTACGATACAGGATTAGGTTATTAACAACTATCGGAGATACATCCTAAAGAATATTGACATCTGTCGAGCTGCGAGCGAATCACTTAGGCATGACATCTCAGGTTGTTCGGCTCTTTCTAACTCTGAGCACTTGCACAGACACAATCTAGTAGCCAGGATTCTACACTAGGAACTCGCTCTATAATACGGTCTCGTGAATTGAAAACCGCCTTATTATAAGTACATGCCAGAAGCCATGCTTGAAAATGGCCACGCCGGGCTGTACTGGGATCAGGCCATCATCACAGACAGGACGATTCTTGCTAATTTATTGACACACACAAAATAAATTATACATAAATCAAAATTTTACAATTTGATTAACTTTTAGTACAAAAAACGAAATGTAAAAATATCTTTGAATCCTGTGCTAGGATGTTAACGAAGAAGAAGTCAAAGCTCTTCTTTTCCTCTCGCATAATATTATGTTACTCACAGCTGTAAGTTTATTTTTGCACGCTCACATTAAACATTCCATCATGTTTTTAATATCTTCGTAGTTTAATTTAATCAAGAAGTCTCCCATATATTTATTTTTTAATTTTTTAGGTATTAAATCTTCGAAGTCGCCAAAAATCACCTTATTTATTATACACCCGAGAGGTCGAAGGTAGAGGTCGAAGCGTAATTAATATTGGCGCTTGGCAAACTCTGTACGAGTCCATACCGTAGAACACGTCTCTCTCCTTCGCTAAGACGTTGGCAAAGATGGTACAAATTCCATGTGATATCTGAGAACTGTAGTTTTATAGTATAATTTTCTCACGGTAAATACCCTGCAGTTTTGATAGTGAGGGATATTTAAATGAAAGAAAACATAATACTTTTAGAATGGCTCTTTGAGCCCTTTCCTCTCCTTTTTAATTATTACATGGGACCAATTACATAGAATTGATTACAAAGAACCTTTATTATATTAAGAGAATTTGAGATAAATTATTAAAAAAAAATTGATAATTTTTGAGATTGCCCTTTAAATAAAACATAAAGCCACTATATATTTCGTACAATTCTCTATCACTAAAAGTTCTGCAAAAATAAATACTTAAAGTTATTGTTAACGCTGTGTTCAAAAGACAACGGTCTCAACAATTACAGGCTAATGAGGAACGCAAATGTAAATGCTCTGAATTTGTTGATAAAGCGTTCCATAATGATATAAGCCTAACCATAGGTACCATTTTTGCTTTTTTTTAGAAATTTGCTAACTAACAAATATTAAATAATAATCACGATATACCATGTCTATAAAATTGATGTTTAATGCCTTCGATAATTGGCCCAAGTTTAATTAAAAAATTAAATTTAATGAAAAAATGGCAGTTTATTAATGCCCAAATATCGGAATCAATAAGTTCTTTTACCTAAGTAAGAATTTTTTATCGCTCAAACTTATTCTAATTTCGATAACAATGTAAGAATATGTTCTAGCAAATACGGTAGATGACGGTGAGTTTTCAGTGGAATAATTGTAGAAAAGTTAAGAAAAAAAACTGAAATTACAAACGATTTTACACACCATCGACAGAAAAAGAATCCCACCATATAAAAATGAAGAAAAGTTTCGAGACAGTTCATTAATTGATAAATGTGGGGAGGAGTATTGTGATAAACCAGTAGACTAGAGCAATCAACAAGTCAAGGTTAATAGATAGCAATGAATCTTTTTCAATTGAGGGGTATAGTTTCAAAAACCGCATAGTCCATTTTTTTCAAGTAGCAACATTTTTATACGTCTAGTAACTCCATATTTTATAATACAGGTTAGTGTTTAGTTGGCCGATCAAAAGTAACTTTGTCCAATAGAAATTAAAGGTCAAAATATAATGGTTGAATCAAAATCAGCAAAGTCCTAACCCAGTTATTTCAAAATAAGCATTGTGAATTCGGCCAATCAGATGCCACCGTGATATGTCAAAACAGTATAGCGTGAGCCGGTGTAGGAGTCGATTTGGTGAAGGTGCATATTAAATAAAAGTAAATAATTTAAATAGTAAACGTGTAAATTTTATAGTCAAAGTGCATAAATTCCAACAATGGATAAATCACCAATAGTTGTCCAACAAATTAGAGCAAGAAAAAGACTTAGTGATAAAAATAAATGGAAAAGAAATGTGGCGAAATTAGAGCGGTAAGTTAAGTGGTATTTACTGATTTTGATCCTTACAACTTATGTACTTACTTATGTTTTGTTGATGTCGGTAAAATACAGATTCTATTTGTAAGCGCTTTTACGTGATCTTTTAATAATAACAATCATAATAAATTAGTTTATATTACATGTGTATTTATTATATTGATATTTATATTGAATATGTAGGTACTATGAATACTACAAAGACAAGCTTACGGGCGTACTTTTAACGAGATCGTCAGTGATCTTCTCTTGTAAAACGTAATACATTTAAGTATACTCAAATTTCTTATCTGTGTGTAATTTAATAATATATGTATAATGAGGTTAATAATGTTTGGTACGATATTTTTTATATTTTGATGTTTTTTTTTCAGATACTCCACAAAGAGATTACTGATCGTCCAAATTGTATTCACAAAAAGACATATGAATGTAATTCATTGACAATGAGTGATTTGATCGATTTTCATACATGTTTTTACAAACATAGGGATAAACGTTCGCAAGATGCATTTATTCTTAAACACATGACAATATCAAAAGTGGCAAGGTATCGGCCTAGAAAATCCAAATACATGGGGAGGAATTCCAGTAATAAATATTACATACGTTGTAAGTCAATTAAAAAGAAAAAAAGAGTATGTGAGAACACATTTCTTGCTACACTGGGTATTAAAAGATACCGTGTGGAAGCAATTGCTAAAATATTTCATAGTGAAGGTGTCTTATTAGAGGAGCGTCGTGGGGGACACCATAAGTCTCATTTATACTCAGCGAGACAGAAAGCAGTAATATAATTTATTAAAAAATTGAATTACTCTGAGCCACATTACTGTCGTGGCAGTAGTGACAGATGTTACTTACCCGCCGAACTAAGTATTAACAAATTATTCAAAATATATAACAATAGCCAGGCAGACAGTTTTTTGAAGGTAAAAAGGAAGCTATTTTAGAAACAAATTTAATACAAAATTTAACTTAGGATTCGGCTCACCTCAAACGGACGTATGCTCTGTATGTTTACAATATACAGAAAAAATCAAAACAAGTGTTGACGAGAAAGTGAAAACAGATCTAATGATAAAAAAAAGAATTCATACAAAAAGGGCCAAAGCTTTTTATAATTAATTGAAGGATCAAGCACCTAACGTTTCGATTTTATCTTTTGATTGTCAAAAAAATATGCCGCTCCCAAAAATTCCAGATCAAAGCACATATTATTCGCGACAATTTTACGTTTATAACTTCACTATTGTTACTGGGCCATCAAACACAAAATTAAATGAAAATAATACTTTTAGTTACATCTGGACGGAAGATACTTACGCCAAAGATTCTAACTTAATAGCTTCTGCTGTATTTCACCGATTAAACAATACATCATTTTCACAACAAATAGATAAAATCAGATTAATGGCCGATGGGTGTGCTGGTCAAAATAAAAATTTCGCTGTAATTGGAATGTGTCAGAAATGGATGACCACAGCACCCATACATATTAAGAAAATGGAAATAATCTTTTCTATAGTGGGACACTCATTTCTGCCTCCCGACCGCGTTTTTGGCAGAACAGAAAAAGAATTTCGAAAACGAGACACAATATTGGAACCTTGTGAGTATATAAATATAATAAAAGAAAATGCTACTATAATTGAAGTTCGGAAAAGATTGTCTCGTCCAAGATTGGAAGGAAGCTGTTAAGAAGATCATAAAAACACCCGGTCAGTGGCATATCCCTTTTATGAAATGCAAACGATTCATTATAAAGCGATCTAAGTTGTCTTTTGAAAATACAGTAATTAAGGGCAAAATAAATTATATGATTGACGCGGGAGTTTTCAGAAGTGTTTGTAAAAAAAATAAAAGAACATCCGAAATTGATGCTCAAAATACGCAAACTATGGGAATCATAACATCAGTAAAAGTCAAAGATGTCAATAAACTATTAACATAACATTTTTTCAGTTTTAGAGCTACTGTTGTGCTTATTAACAATAACTGAGAGTGGATCATTCATTATTCGATTCATAATATGCTAAAATTAAACTCGTAATGTTAAGTTTTAGGGGGAAAAAGGTTAAATCAATATTTTACTAATTCGTCAACATCGGACTTTGTTGTTTTTGAAACTATACCCCTCAATTCCTGCGGTAATAATGTCGTCCAGACTAAATTTCGGTCACGGCGGCCCGTATCAACGGATAATACACGTCTGTGCATAGGATATTAAATAATAGTGCTCAAGTGTATGCGCAAGCACAGGTGCATTCTTGTTCCCTCTCTCTCATAGTCCGATGGGACGGTAATTCGACACGAACGGAGAGAGATCAGGCGCAGGATCAACAGATTTATGTGCTTTCCGAGGCATGGGGGTGAAACACTGCCAATTTCCTGACTCCGGGCTGCTACTGCCACTTTCTTGACAATTTCTATTAAAATTATTATTTAGGAATTTGAAAAAACTGCACAATAACTGACTTTGGCCCAACTTAGGATTCGAACCCGGAACCTCACGGTCAGTAATTGTGTTTAGGACTACTAGAACAACAAGGCAGTCAAATAATTAATACTGTAGAACTATTATTACTATATGAATTATAATTAGTAGAATTGCTGCAATTCTGGCATTAATAGTTCTGAAGTAACAGTTCACTATCTCTGCAGTCGTTTTCGTGTCTGAAGAATACTTTCGATTATCTTAGAGGATCCACTTATTGTAAGTGATACTTCGATCTTGTCACCATATTAGTGTGCTGATGATGAACAACGTAATATGCAATTGTTCCATTGTCAATCAGCAAAATTCTAAAGTTGATTTTCTGATAAATAAATATAATAATATTTGCTAGATATTTCGAAGGAAACGTTGAAATAACGCGTTACTGATTTTTACACATTGCATAGGCAAAGGAAACCGCCGCCATTTCCTACACTTCCTTACTCGGAGTAGGTTTCATAGCGCGAATTGCCGAGCACTTATCGCAATCCGTCTTGTCTGAAAATGTTGCTTTGTTCAGACAGTTTTAATTGACTTCTAAAAGCAACTTCCTATGTTTTTCCTCTTGAGCGTAATGGTTGTTGTGTGAGAAAATTTAAATCTACGTTTTAAACAACTTCACATTAATTCTGAATGAATACGTGTTTAATCTAAAAGCCTACGTTTACCTTCTGTAATAATGATTAAAAGTAAATAACGTAACAGCCGATATGCGTTCCACTAATTTGCACATGTTTCTACAGTATTACTAACCTATCATTGCAACTTTTTAAAAGATTCATTTTTTTGTTAGCATTGGCTGATAAACGATTCTCGATTCCAGTAAAAAGGGTTTTTGCCTATCAAATTTTATCCAGCCGCTTTCATTACATTGACCAAGATTCATTTAAAGCCATTAAACTAGCAATCAACGTTTTTTTTAATCGATTCGTGGTTGTTAATCACGCTAGATAAATTTATTTTAAAAAGTGACATTCGGCAAACCAAATTTTGGTTTCTTACGTCAAAGAAAGAAATTTATCACATTTTAAATGAAAATAATTTAACGGATTTTATGGCGTTTGATTTTAACATTTAAATTTACGACGTTTCGGGCGCTTTACAGTACAGTAGAGACTGAGGTATTTGACGCCCCGATGTCATGGTTAGCCCGGCTAATGTTCATTTTTAGTCCAATTTACTTAGAACGAGCTTACAGTATCTTGGAGTCTTGCAGTAGTATGCTTAGGTTTTTATTTATTTTTGTTAATTATTATAGGAACCGAAACGGTTGATAGCATCCATCCATATTCTTTATTAAAATTAGGATATTTTTATTATATTTTAATAGCCTCACGTATCATACTTGGTAGGAATCGGTGTATTTGTGGTTTATCAACCTCAATTTAATGACCAAGACGATCTTGAAATATCCACAGACGCAAACTTCCCGGAGCGTCGGTGATTTACGTCAGCTATATATTCCTTTACGCTCGTTTTTATAAATATTTTGTGTGTACTATGTAGAGAGACCACACTCACAATCAAGATTGTAAACTCCTGCATCTTGTAGAAGGATATTACACTTGACAGATGAAAAGACACATAAGGCAAACAAAAAGATTAGTGTGTACTGTTACTGTAGCCCATAGACATTTACATCTATTCTCGACTACGAATGAAAATGCAGATGCGTTGTTACCCGTGACTAACAAGGAATGCCTAATTTTCAGTAAGAAGGGTCTCCGGTTCTCTGCAATCAGCATATGAAACACAATAACGTATATTTTTTTTATTTTATTTAAAAAAACCAACAGCGATTTAACAATTTTAAGGACTTTTTCAGTTATATAAACAAAATATGTTATGGACGGTACAATTTAACTATTCTTTGGATTTATTATAACATGTATGTACTAATCTAATTATATATATATATATATATATATATATATATATATATATATATATATATATATATATTCACAGATATGTAACTAAATGTTTATACTAATTACACTTTTGTATATGTGTATGTAGAAGTAATATTTGTATTATTTATTTCTCTGCAAAACTTTTAAATGCAGCCAGATATTAACATTCTTTTATGTAATTTAATTTAATGAAATATGAAATATCACACCTGTTTATTTATTTATTTTTCTAAACCGTTACACTTATGTCAGATTTACACTCAACAATCAAGTAAGAAATGATTATACTAAATGATGCAAAGTATGAATTCATTTTCATATTATAATAGAGTTGATTTATGTTCATTACTATTTATTTATTTTTGTGTAGGGAGTCCTACTAGATGGAGTAACGACCTGGTAAGACATATAAGAAGTCGACGGAACGCATGCGGCTCAGAATCGTACCTTGTGGCATTCCCTGGGGGAGGTCCACGTTCAGCAGTGGACTTGTGAAGGGCTGTAATGATGATCATCATGATTAAGCAAATCAAAATGATTTACTCGTTTTGCACCTCATTTAGAAAGAGCTTTAGCTTTAAATGCTGGTTTACAAAAAAACAAAGAGATCTATATCACTAAAGATCTCATTGTATGTCCTAAGCAATCTGTTTATAGGCGCATTACGTGCATAATTGGTGCCAGCAAACGGCACACATAAACGGCAGCCGACGGCGGACATGACGCGACGGTACGTTGTATGTTATGCTCGCCACCAACTCAGGACAGTCTACCTGTCCACGGACAATATCATACAAAAAACATACGTCCATTAATTTACGTCTGTTTTCGAGTGTCAATAAATTATAAGATTGACA